CACGTGAAAGTGAAACCTGAGCGGTGAACTAATTTTCGGCAGCCGGAATTTCAGTGCATCTCTAATTATTGGCGACATCAGAAATGGATATTATATAATAGATGCTTTTTTTAACATTTTAGCAATTTAAAAATATAAAAAATATATTTTTTACATGCCTCCCATGCTCTCGACAGACGGCACCCCGGTTGGGAAACACTGGTCTAAGTAACACACATAACAGCATGGTTCTCTGACCTTTCAGCCAATCAGATCGCATATCCTGACTTAAAGGGATAGTTCACACAAAAAATGAAAAGCTTACATTTAAATCACCATTTCTGGCCAAAATATGAGTCCACAATCCATAATAACGCTTAATCCAGTGAAAAAGTAAAATTCTAAATTCTGTTATTATTCACTTACCCTTATATTGTTCCAAACCTGTATGATTTTTATTTTCCTTCTATGGAACATAAAAGAAGATATTTTGATAAATGTCTCAGTTATTTTGTCCCTATACAATAGAAGTATATATCTTCTTTATCTTTATTCTAGTATCTTCTTTAATTTTCCACAGATCAAAGTAATTCATACAGGTTTGGAATGACATGAGGGTGAGTAAATGATGACAGATTTTTCATTTTTCAGGCAAACTATCACTTTAATAGTTATATTCAGTTAAATACATCAGTTTACATCCTGCACATTAATGTTTATTTTAGGCAGTGAATGACATCTTGGATGACTTAATTGATTACAAGAATAAATTCTGAAGTGTTATGCAGATTTTTAATTAGATCATTCCAAATGAAGACCTCTGACAGGAGATGCTTTTGAAATTGATAATACCTCCGCTCGGTTTCACTGCTAAATGCTTTGGTGTGTTAGACCTATTTGTTTAGTTAAATGAAATCAAGAGTCATTCAATTAAATGCAAACAAGTTAATAAATTGATAATGAAATAATCTGATTGTACCAATGGCCAGAGTGTTTTTCCTCTATGTATATGTGAGTTTGTGTTTAAGTGGGGGAATGTGTTGCAGCTTAATGGATCTAATTTCACTTCCTACACTCCCTGCAGATGTCTGAAGATTTGATTTCACTGAATACACATTCTGCATTTCTCCCGTGGATTTATTTTTACTGTAGACACACACATGCACGCACACACCCCCACCCCCACCATATGCTGTGAATGCTGAAAAATGCCTGACCCCGACAACACTGATGGCCCAGAGCGGTTTAACATCAGCAGGTCATCATGACCACTTGCTGCAAAACCTGGCATGACCAGGCTTTCTTTAGCTCACCTTAATGTATTTCCCACTTGCTACAAAGCAAATGTATGAAAGTTCAGATCTGTGGAACACATGCTGTATGCATACTTAGCTTATTACAGTGATACTGCCACTGTATGATTTGCATGATGGGTATATATATATATATATATATATATATATATATGCAGTGGTTAAGGACCACTTATCTTAATGGTGCTTTTATATCCTTTATGAAACCTGAAAAATGTTCCTTTCTTTTAATTATCTTATTTTTCTCTTTCTCTGCAGGAGGACGATATAGTTTACTATAATGCCAAGGATAATGTGAGTATATAATTCAAGACTCTTCAGCACATAGACACCCTCAGCATTTTTTCAAGTGCAGATACTATATCAAACATGAATACCGTGAGCTCTTCTGTTCAGTTACGATCATGCGTTAGTGAGATTATGTGTGTTATTTCAGGCAGTCAAGATATGATGAGAATATATGTTCTCGGTTGACGCAGACTCGGCTGGCGGATACACACTCTCTGTGTGCCATACATCCCAACTGCCAATTAGGATGAGTCTGTGTAAAACACATGGAGGGAGCGTGTGCATTAGTGTGTAAAAGTACAAGATGGAAAGTAAGGCAGGGGAAACATGAGAGAAAATTAGTTTTTTTTTTCATCAATGTGCAAAGCTGGATTACAGTACCAGCAGTGCAAATCTTAATAAGATGATTATATTAATAGATGAGTTGGTTAGACATTTATTTTGATATTTGATATACACTTTCAAATTTCATTTATTCATTTGAATATATAAGATTTTGTTAGGCTTTGATTAGTGACCAAATGATCTATCAGACAGGTCAAATTCTGAACAAAATGATCTGTGTTGGCTCTGATAAACAACTTCCAAACATGCACAGTTTTGAACATATTTTGTTACAAATATGTTCAGAGAATAATAATATTTTGTGTACATATTGCATTTGAAGGAATAGTTCACTCAAAAATGTAAATTGTCATGATTTACTCATGGAACACAAAATCAATTTGTGAACAAATTGTTCTTTTGAGTCTTTTGAGAGTCTTTTCAGTGAATCGGTTTATCCAGTTCACAGAACCATTCTGGTTCTCAAGTTCTCAAATCTCTGACTCAATAAATTTGCAGTGGTTAATAGCTGACTAAAAGAGAAGAATATCATTGTAACTTTTAACACATTTTGGTCTTTTGTCACACAAAACTATTGTATGGCTTTATAAGACATGAAATATGATGTTTGAATTGTATGGATCACTTTTGATACCGTAATGGTATTTTTATATCCTTTATGAAGCCTTTATGAAAACTTTAGTCATTCAGGTTGTTGTAACAAGATGGATGACAGAAATGATGACAGAATGTTTCATTCTTTCCTGATATTTCTGTACATATACCATTCAAAAATTGGAATTTGTAAGATTTTTTCAATGTTTTTGAAAGAAGTCTCTTATGCTCATCAAGGTTGCTTCCCCTTCAGGAACTCGAGCTGCGTCGAAATGCTACGGGAACGCCTCCAGCGTGACCATGCTCTGAATCACGTGTAATCAGTCCAATGGATGAGCGAGATGTCACGGGCGGGGTGACGTAGCGACCAGGAAGCATAAAAGCACGTGCGGTGAATCCGCCGTCAGTTTTCTGTCATTCAGCAAGCGCTCTGTGTGTGTGTCAGTCTGATATCTGTTTGTGAGTCTTATTTAGTGTTGTCGGTCACGAAATCTCAAGACAAAACCAGACACTTAAGGTGAGGGCAGGCAGCGTTCAGTCTATGTGTTCCTCCCTGCCCGCGTTACTTTACGGGTGGGGATACACACAGTTTGTTTGTTGTCTGCTTGGGAGCAAGCACGCAGAGTCAGCTCTCGGAAAAAAAGGAGCTGACGGCCCGTTTTGGTAGCGTTTGTTACTGCCTTGCTTCGCTCTCAGATGGCTCTCTTTGAGAAGAGAGCCTTCACTAGCGTTCCTCGGGGTGCCGGCCCCGCTTTCGCCGAGGCGGAGCGGCGGCTGTGCTCGTGGGTTTCACATATGGATCCGGTGGAGGGAATGTAGACGGGCGCGTCCCTATCTACTTCCTTAACCACCAGATCCAACGCCCACTCTCGGGGTTTCGGAAGCCCGCGCTGCGGTACTTCCCCCCCCGGGAGAGGGCGGGACGCTCCGCCTGTCTTTCTCCGAGGAGATTGATACGGAGGGCGTCAAAGAGCTCGCCAGTTGCACAAGCATCAGTTACACAAGCATATTATGCCTGATATTATAATGAGCAGCATTGCTGGGGAGCGGAGCTCGCACAGTCAGCTCTCGGGGAAAAAAGAGGGTGCTGATTGTGCGCCGCATTAATGGGGAGCGGAGCTCGCGCAGTCGGCTCGCGCGGGCGGATTGTGCTTTTCCCGCTGTTAAGCGCTCCGCTCTCGCCGGGCACGCTCAAGGTCAGATCTCCTCTCACAGGCGGAGGGTGTGCCCCCGCCCGGAGCTGTGGGTGTGGCCTCTGAGGAGGCACAACTCATAGCTTCTGATCTCTCAACCGAGGTTGTTGAGACCATCCTCCATCCAGAGCTCCCTCTATGAGGAAACTGTACTTCTTGGTGCGGAGACCGCCAGCTCGACCCAGCTAACTGCCCGTTTGGTACAGTTCTGGAGTTCCTGCAGGCCTGTTTATCCGCAGGGTTGACCCACTCCACCCTAGAGGTATTCGTGGCGGCAATTGCGGCCTACCATGCCCCTCTCGGTGGCCATTCAGTGGGAAGACACCCTCTTCTCACACATTTCCTCCGCGGTGTGCTGAGGCTGAGGCCTCCGGCCAGAGAAGCTTATGTTAAGTGGTGGATCAGGATGCTATTCCATAGCCTTGAGCCCTCTGATCTCCCCTCTCCTTCGGGGGTCAAGGCTCACTCCTCCAGAAGTTGGCCTTCGGGACGGTGTGCCCCGCCTACTTTAGCCATTCCTGGCTCCCTTTTCTCTCGCCTCAGTTGTGCTCTTCCACACTAGGCAGGAATTTGCAAGTCTGGCGGCGTGGACATTCTCGTTCCCGTAGCGTTTCGACGCAGCTCGAGTTCCTGAAGGGGAACGTCTCCAGGCAGGGATTTGCAAGTCTGGCGGTGTGTGCATTCTCGTTCCCGTAGCGTTTCGATGCAGCTCGAGTCCCTGAAGGGGAACATCTCCAGGTTACGTATGTAACCATGGTTCCCTGAAGGGAGACGCTGCGTCTCAGGGCCATACTTCTGGCAGCCCTGCCAGCGCTTGCTTCACTCCTAGAAGCTGACACCGGTTTCACCGCACATGCTTTTATGCTTCCTGGTCGCTACGTCACCCCGCTCGTGACGTCTCGCCCATCCATTGGACTGATTACACATGTGATCGGGGAACCATGGTTACATACGTAACCTGGAGACGATTTATTTGATCAAAAATACATTAAAAACAGTAATTTTGTGAAACATTATTACAATTTAAAATAAATGTTTTCTGTTTTAATATATGTGAAAATGCAATTTATTCCTGTGATGGTAAAGCTGAATTTTTTAATATGCTGATTTGGTGCTTAAGAAATGTTTCTCATTATATTTAGTTGAAACCTTGATACATTTTTTGACGAACAGAACATTCAGAATAACTGGATTTAATTGAAATATGTACCATACCAGAGTTGATTGTTGTTGTTTCTCTTCCAGCTTGAAGCCAATGAAACAGAAGGAAGGAAAAACCGGATCAGACCTGAATTTAAAGAAGACCCATCATTCAAAAACCGCCTCACCTCCTACAACCATACAGCTGTGCATATCCCCACGGACATATATGACGGCTGTAAGTAACTCCCCCACCCCCCACAGACACGCTAGCGCTCTGCCTGCTCCACCGTAACATATTATCTACTGCTGGAAATCTGATGAGACGCTCTCCTGCTGATCGCTTTGGATGTCAGTTACAAAACGGAGTATAAGCGTGTCTTTGTAAGAGCTTTTGGAGGAGAATTATAGAATCTATTTGACAGCAAAGACTCTGTGGGGAAACTTTTGTCGGAATAAGTGCAGGTGCGTTTGTTTGAATAAGCCCACAGTATGCATGTGCATCTATTTAAACTGTATTTCACAAAGGTTTTTAAGCAGGGATAGTAGGCTGGCCAAGCCATAGAGTCTCAGTTGGCCTGCTGGGATAGCGTCTGGCTCTTTGGTGTTAGACGGCTCTTCCCCTATTGACCTTGTACACATACATGCACGCAAAACGGAAGACAAATAAATTCAGGTAATTACTTTGGCCATTGTACCCTTTGGTAAACAGAGTATTTGAAATAACACCAGGTCAGACAGATGTGCCCTGCGGTAAGCATAATGTTATATGGAGGATGAGTTTGCTTTATTTTTAAATAAAGAATACCGAATGAATTCAGAGATCAAGTGATGCTTCAGTCTCTAAGCAGTGAGTTAGTCTTTCCAACACATGCTGACAGAGGTAGCTGCCCCTGTAATTTAAGAAGGGAGTTTCCTTGTCACTTGTCTTGTAATTGTATACCATTTTATGCAATTATCTGTGAGTCATTTCCTAATCCTATATTGCTATTTCTAATTTAATGTGTGAGTCATTTAGGCTTTTTGAGTAGGGTTGTTTCATCTGGTTATCTGTTGGTTATTAAAGTCTGTTAATTTTGTGATTTAAAGCAAGTGTTACTGGCATATAAAGATCCAGGGATTCCCCACTCAGTAACTAATATTGTTATACTCTGGAATGTGATTCATATTTATACAGAAGTATTTTCCGCACTGAGAAGTACGGCCTGCTTAAATTGCGTAAATCCGAGAAAAATTGCTATGTTTTATATACATTTATTTCATGCATGGATACTGTTGATTTTGACAGCACTTCACAAATTAGCGTCGCCATGTAGTGTCTGTGTGTGGGACACTCTATAGCATCTCAGGCAGTCTCCAAAATGAACACCCGCAAGCATCACGTATGTAAAAATGGGCCTTGTCATGTATATGAAACGGTGTTGTGCCAGTTAGATGGTAACTTTTTTATGAATTCTAACAATACATGATGCATGAGTTAGAATGCGATATGGCTTATTGCAATTAACAAATTGGAAACAATTTAATCACACAAATATATAGTCTGATGTGCTGCATGTTTCAGAGTGATGCGCGGCACTGTATTTTTTTACACGCTAGCAGATTCGGTGAGTCTCAGTTTGCAGTAAAACACGATCTTTGTAATAATAATAATAATAATAATAATAATAATAATAATATAAATAATAATAATAATAATTGTTATTACTAATTTTAATAAATAATGTTATTTTCTTAATAAATTATTATTATTATTATTATTATTATTATTATTATAGCAAACATAACATTTTTATTATTGTGTAGTAAAAAAAGAGAATGGAAATTGAATGGAAAAAAAAAACAGGTTTTCCTTCTTTTTTTGTCCTTTTGTCACATACCTGTATATTAAAAGTAAATTAAAATATAAAAAGAGATGTTTGTTTTGTCAGTGAGATTTTGAGGCATATTTGAATATGCAAATGCCAATGAGATTGTTAAGCTATAGCAGATGGAACAATTTGCAGAGAATAATGACTTCAGTTTGATCTAGCCCTAAAACAAAGCTATTGTATGGCTTTGCAGATGTCATATGGACTATTTTTGCAAGTTGCTTAGATACTTTTTCATTATTTTTGGATCTTGCTAGGTCTCTTTACCATTCATGTTCATTATATGGATGAGATGGGCAGGACAATATGCAAAATAGCTTAGGAAATGATGGCAGAATTAAATCTTTTGTGTGAGCTTTTCCTTTAAACTTACGTTTTATAGTAGGCGAGAGGGACATAACCAAGTGACAGAAAGAGACATAGATGGAAGGCGACAAGGGTAGAGCTATAATTGCTGTGGTCTTGGGTCTGACCCGACCTTGTACCAGAAGGAAACATAGTACGTGTATAGAATCGAGCTGGCGACAGGCCCTCTCATACTCTGTGCTGAAAAACAGTTGTGTGTGAGGAATGTCCAATATTACTGGAGTGTCTAAATGTCCATTAATTCCAGAGGTTGTTGACTCTCTGTAAGGCAATGAGAACCTAGTGGCTTTTCTCTAGCGACTCTAAAAGTAAAGTTTGCACACATCAACCTCTATCAAACACTTAGAGACCACAAATAGCCTGGGACCACCAGCACACACACACACACACACAGAAATAACACAGATCTGCCTCTCCCGACGGGGAGAAAATTGGATTTTCGAGGATAAAGTAGTACATCGTTTAGGGGTTGCTAGAGGAGGGTGGGTGACCCCCCTCTGCCACAGTCAGCTTACACCAAGAAAAACTTAACCATGATTAAGACAGACAATTCTCAATGGGTGCTGGCACATTTCCCCCTCCGTCACATCCGAAAGGATGGATGTAACATAAGTGGAGCTTGATGAAATAATCAATACTTTGGAGAGTTGAGATGTTACTTCACAATACTGTACTGAAAAAAAAGAAAAGAAAACTTGTTAGAATCGTTCCCCCCCCCCCAGATTTGCTGTTAGAAAAAATAATATTGACCACCAAATAGTGCAAAGCTGTCGAAAGGCAAAATGTACTGTGGCCAGAGCATGTTAGTGGTGTGAGTTTGATTTCAGTTTGTATTCAATTGAAGCAAAGTGCACTTTTTTTATTTATTTTTTTTTATTGTTGTGTTCATGTTTTACCCCTCAATCAAAAAAGGGCTAATGGGCTCATTTTTGTGTATAAAAAGCTTTAAACTTGTGTAGAAGTATTATAGTGGCCAGAATATGTCCAGCAAATTGATATCTTCACCCCTTTATTTAAATATTAAAAACTGATTATATTGTAGTCAAAGTATACTGTATTTTTTTGTGAGCTTTTTATTTTCTGTTCATTTTTTGCATGGTAAAACAAAACCCATATTCCATGATAAGCTGTAGTTTGCCTTTTTTGCCAAATAATTTTGTCAGTTAAATACCTTAACCAAGTTTAATGTTTTCCTTTTCCTAATATAACATGTTCCTCATATTTTGATGGGCATATAGATGGGTAGTAGATGGATGAATGGATAGATGGATAGATAAGTGGACAAATTGATGTATGGATAGATGCATAGGTGGGTATAAAAATGAATAGATGAATGGATAAATAAATTAGATAGGTTGAAGGATGGATAGATGCGTAGATAGGGTAGATGGGTAAATAGACTGATAGATGGATGGATAGGCATATAGATGGGTAAATGGATAGACAGGTGGACAAATAGACATGCACATTAGCATTGGTTGTCACAGTGAGTTTTGCACTGGCAAGCACAGCTCACATTTTTTCTTCAGAAAAAGTATAAATCTGATTATGTCAGTATTTGCACATACTATAATATGTGCAATTGAATTCAAACATAACCTGATTTACTGCGCAGGCTGCAGTTCCTCTCTAGTCACTGATCAGTCGTTTGTCTTTTTAAACAAAAAGCTGAAGAAAATGTGCCTCTCGTGCTTCATTTCCTCATTTGCTTCCTCTCTTTCTTTTTCTCAACCCTGCCATCCTGCCTCTGCTGCATGCTAACCAATAAAACTGAAGTTATGATTGTTATAACACTGAATTTTCATGCTTCATTACAATAATTGTTGACACGCAGGGTGTTTTCTCACCTGATTAGCATATCTCTACTAGCACTTCTGACTGCCTATCAGCACACAGCCTTTTTCAGAAGCAAAAGGTTTGATAGGATGATTATAGGTTTCCATGGTTCCCTCAGTGATGATGTAGTAAAGTCAATCAGCTTGTTTGCGGCTGTGGAGAGGAAGAGCCTTCAGTGCATAGCACAGAATTATTCTGTTAACAGCAGTTGAGATGAGAGTAAATTATGCCTCTCTTTGTGTCTCTCCTTCTCCTATCACTTCATTTCCGCTCTCTGGACTGTGCAAGTCAATATAAGCACCATGACCTCTATAAATAGATTAAAGTATTCAAATATTTTATGATGCTATTTGTTAGTTAAAGGTCATGTAAAAATAAATAATTTATATGAATTAATTTTGCATTCAATTTGATAAATAAATAAATAAATAATTTGTTTGTTTGTTTGTACATACAGTACCGGTCAAAAGTTGGAATTAGTAAGGATCATGTTCTGAAGGATCATGTGACACTGAAGACTGGAGTAATGTCTGCTGAATATTCAGCTTTACTATAACAGAAATAAATTAAATAAAAATATATTCAAATAGAAAACAGTTCTTTTAAATTGTAATAATATTTCACAATATTACTGTTTTTCTGTAGTGTTCACAGTATTATTTTAGTATCATTGCGATATTGTTTGTTTTTAAAATTGTTTTGAATCAGTTTTTATTGTATGTCTATATAGTTTTTATTTCTTTTTCAGTTTTAGTTATTTAAGTATTTTGAGTTAAACATGAGACATTGCCTTGGCAACTGGCTGAAATAAAAAAAATATATATTTTAGTTTAGTTTAGTTTAGGTAACATTTGTTTTATTTCAGTTAACTTTTTTTTTATTCAGAGTAATGATTTTTTTTAATGGTTTTCATTTTAGTTAACTTCAGTAACCCTGATTGTTCATCTAATAAATGTAGCCTTGATGAGCATAAGAGACAGAAAGAAAGAAACAAATATTTATTGCAAACTTTTGACTGGTAGTACATATACCACTTTTACAAACAAATTTACCAAATTATCTGTTCAGATATAAGTAAGCTAGATAAGCTATGATGTGCTATGGTGCATATAAAAATAAGAACTGACCATAGGAAAAAAAAAAAAACATTTG